CCAAATTTAATTCAGCTGCCTCAGAACTAACAGCACTTACACAGCTAAATAAACTTCACAACAAATCAAAGTCATCTATTCATTAGAAAACAACAACAACACAAGTAACTGTGAAAAATATATGTAGCAAAGCTACGTCCAATGTTTGCTTGGTGTAAACATACAGCCTTTAGAGGTAAGAGGAGAAAACTAACCTCCAAATACATCTCATCCCACTCTACCCTAACTGTGAGCAGCTAGAGAAAACGCACAATTCCAGGCCAGACAAATTACAAGTAAGTTTGCCAATACCAACCATTTGCCTCATTCAGCTCCTCCTCTGTGGGCCAGGTTTGCTCCCCCTCCATTGGATCTGGGATAACCTCTGTTTGCAAAGATTCTTGTCTTTCCGGGTCTGCCTTCATTAGGACCTTAAGGTCTTCCTCCATATCAACTGCAGCATCCATAGCACAAATCTGAAAACCAAAATAGTTGACACCAAATGTTACCCAAAATCTACTAAATCTAACATAGTAACCAGGAAGATCCAGAAATAACACAGTCCTCAAATAAAAGAAAAATAAAATAGAATGAAACAGAGAGCCCCATTTGTCAAATCTTTCAAACATTTAAATTTCCTAGCATTTTAACTCCATACCTCTGCTTGCTTTTGAGGCCTTTCATAATCTGCTCTCACTCCTACCCAGTTATTACATACCTTACTCCCATCAAGCTGATTTCTTCAGAGTTCAGAAAAACCATCTGATCTATCACTGTGACTGGGTTCATGTGGTCTCTATCTTCTTCGATACGGTTTCATCTCTCTTCAACTCATAAATCATATTCAACCCTCTCAACACCCGGCTCAAGTCTGAGCTCTCCTGTGAAGCTTGCTAGTCTACTTTCTTGACTTACACTATACCTCAACCACACTTTTCCAATCTTTATTTCTCAGTTGTTTGCCATTTTTTCTGACATAATTAGGTTGTCCAAGGAAAAAGACTGCATCTTGTGTCTTTTATAAACTCAAAGCCAATTGCTATGTGAGGCACCTACAAAGTGCTGGATAAATACGGGATGTCAACATATTCACAATTGACTATTGCCTTACTTCAAACTAGCAGTCACCTCCAGAAACTAGTAGTGTAAGAGTGCAAACTACTTCCTCTGACATTAGTTCACATCCTATACCAGCTTACACGTGAAATCTACGTATTTAAAAAATTTAAAAAAAATTTATTTTAATGTTTATTTATTTTGAGAAAGAGAGAGAAAACGAGTGGGGAAGGGGCAGAGATAGAGGGAGAGAGAGAGAATCCCAAGCAGGCTCTGTGCCATCAGTGCAGAGCCTGACACAGGGCTCAAACTCACGAATCAGGAGATCGTGACCTGAGCCGAAATCAAGAGTCAGATACTTAAGCTACTGAGCCACCCAGGCATCCCTACAATACACAGTCTTTAAGAACATCAGTCTTACCTCCATTGCAGCTCCAGAGTCATGTGATTTGACCACTCTAGGATTTAAAGGGAAAGGGTCCATAGGAGCATATATCTGTTTCATCTGGAAATCACCCTGTCCAATGATATGCAGCAAGCTATTTACATTCAGAGTTTGTCCACGGACATAGCCTGAGATTTTCAAGGTGCCCATCAAGTTATTTTCTTCACTAGGCACAAAGTCAGCAGCATGGGCAAACAGGTAGGCCCGTCGATCTCGAAAAGCAAGATGCCTTTGCTTTTGGTTAGCCAACTGCCTAAGCAGCATCTGTGCCTCCTGTTGTGTGTCTAACAGGAGAAGTTTGTCATCAGGAAAGCGCTTCTCTATTGCTTTACTTAGCTTCTTTCTGGCATCTATTTGTTTCCTTGGTGGGAGGCCAGAAATCCCCTGGACAGCTAGTGCTGTGAGCAAGAGAGAAAGGACTTTGTTACTTACTTTACCCCGTGTAAATGCCCCCCTGTAATTCACAAACAAGCTAACAGTTCAGCTGTGAACCCAGAGGTCACTGAGAAACCGAACACTCAACTACCCTAAAAAATGTTCATACTGAAACCGAAGTTCATACTCTTCTTCTTCCTCTGGGCAAAGAGTAGTCCAGAAACAGAAGGCACCTTGATAGACAATTTCTAAATGATGGACCAAACTTAGGCCATACATGTACAACTCACCACCAGCCAAATCAACTCATCAGTTGTATTCATGTACCAAGTGCCAGACAGAGCCCGGAAAATTATAGGTGCATAATAAATGCTAATTCACTTCCCTCCCTTGCCTCTAACACTCCCAACTCACTTACCATAGGTGGGAAGGCCCTGGGCAAAAAGGCAGGAAAGGCAGTAATCCCCAGTGCTGTCCCATCCTTCTAGTGGATCAAGGAGAAAAAGAATGGTATCCGCCACTTTAGCCATGTCTAACACAGTGTGCAGATCTCCTGGAGATAGAAGACAAAGTTAGTGGGAAGAGGTGTTTGGCTCCAGCACATCATATTTAAAGAACATTACCATCACTCAAGATACAACAATAGAAAATGCTGTTGTAGGGGCGCCTGGGTGGCTTAGTCGGTTAAGCGTCCGACTTTCGCTTAGGTCATGATCTCGCGGTTCCTGGGTTCGAGCCCCACGTCAGGCTCTGTACTGACTGCCAGCTCAGAGCCTGGAGCCTGTTTCAGTCTGTGACTCCCTTTCTCTCTGACCCTCCCCTGCTCACGCTCTCTCTCTCTCTCTCCCCTAGAAATAAATAAAAAACGTTTAAAAAAAAAAAAAGAAAAGAAAATGCTGTTGTATGCTCTAACCTGGCCTTGCAGAGGTGAAAAACCACCTATGTTTCAAGCGGGGGCATAAAAGCATAAAGCTATGGGTGCTTCCCCATTCATTCAAGTGTACTGTTCCAGTGTCCTTATCCTGAAGCAGCCTAAAGGCCTCTGGCAGGGAAATCCTGTCATGCAGAGGCACCACCAGCACCTGATGAGGAGGACCATCCTTGCTGCCCAGCTGTCTTTTCTCTGCGAGAACCTGAAAATAGAAAAGATCAATGTTTCAGTACTTCATTTCAGTATTGCATTTCCCACAGTATGGATGCCCCTCCGTCACCACCCACTCCCCGCTCCCAGCCCACCGCATCTTTCTTGTAAAAGGCACGTGGGCCTGGAGAGTGGGCAGAAGCTTGGACCAAAACAAAGAAAGCCCTAGCGTGAATCTAGATCTGCGTGCCTGACGTGTGCTCGAGAGTCATTTTTCCCTCCCCGGCCCCTTCCCAGGGTCACATTTTCAGTTCGAGGCATTACCGCCTACATCAGTTGTGAAACCACATCATTCCCTAATCCCTGGCTCCTCTCACCGCCTCCTTCTTCTGCTTTCGGAGCTGGCTGGCGCGATGCCTCTGGTCTACTCTGCTGAGCTCTTTTCTCACCTTCTTGCTTAGGACCTTCAGTGCTAGACGGCCTAGAAGATTAGAAAGGGCTCTTATGAAAGATATCAGAGAATCCAGAAAGGGGACTCTCTCCACCCATCTTAGAGCCTCTGCGCGCGGTCCAGGCCGGAGGTAGGAACTGTCTGGACACAAAGAAAAACAGCTAATATCGACTAAAATAACCCTTCTTCCTCCAACCCTATCATCTCACCCTTGCCGTCCCGCTGCGAGGATCCCCGACCCCGATGCCGCCCGCCTTTATGAGCTTTATTCTGCTGCTTAAGCGGGCCTGAACGGTGGGTCGCCATGCCGCCGCTCACGTGTACGCAGTCAGCATTACTTCCGGGATGGACGGAGTGCTTCCGGTCCCCTCCTTGGGCTCCCTCTTCGTGGAAGGGCGGGGCTCACCGCGTCCTCTCGCGAGAGTCCTTCCTCCTAGGCTCTGAGAAATAAGACGCCAGCGTCTCAGCGAAACCGCGGAATAAACTTTTCTCACGCGGCGGTCTCCTGATGGGGGCTTTAAAACGCTGGATGTAGACTCGAGGTTTGGGCTCTCAGACCGGGAGGGCTTTTTTTTTTTTTTTTTTGCTACCTGTGTTTTCATTTTTTGCGCTATTAAGTTCCATCACTTAGCGGCTGTTGAAGTTTTTCCATCTGTGTGGAAGAGGGCTAAGCCCCTCCTGTCACCTAGATTTCTGCACGCCCCTCCGCAGTTTGCAGCAGCAGGCGTTACCACTTTGAGCAACCCTTTCTTTCTCTTTTGGGCTGCTGAGGTCTCTAGAAGGCAAATCTCGTGGAAGGCGCTTTTCTCACCTTCATGGGCTCCGTACAAGTTCCCGCTGATCCCGGTTAGCCCATCCTGTGCCCCAACCTCCAACATAGCTGGCAGGCAAGACGGTACCGGAGAGGGAGAACTGGTCTTCACAGTCGAGCCCTACCTTAAAGCCAGCTCAGCCTCTTCAAGCTCGGAGTGGCTGTGCTCCAGCCTCTCTTCCCACAAGTCCTGCAACTGAGGGCCACCGGCTGGCAGAGGGGTTTAGAGGAACGATGGAGCTATGGCCTTTCAGCCAGGAGACTAACGCTGGCCTCCTAGATAGCCAGACTTGAGGAGCGAAGAGCCCAGCCCTTCCCGTCGTGAAAACCAGTGGGTAGAAATCAGGGAGCATCTAGCTGAGTAGAGACCAGCTCCGATGCGAGTGACATTCCTCAGCTGTGAGGTCTGGTGCGCGCCAACCGCCGCGCGCGGTGCGGCGCGAAAGAAACTGGCTGCTGGAGCTCACAATGCGGGTTCGCGCCCTCGGGGCGGGAGCCGGCGCGTTGCCATGACAGCGGCCAGCGAGGCGCGCGCCTGGGGGCCCGCCGCCCCCAGGCGCGCGCAGCCTCCCTTCCTGCGCCGACACCCCCAGTCTCTGAGCGCACCCCTCCGCCCGCCCCCGGCTGTGGGAAGGGGCCGGGCCAGCCGCCTGACGTCTGTGCGGGGCTCGGAAGATGGCTGCGGAGCCCGGCACCGGGCAGTGGCTGCGGCGGCGGTGGCGGCGGGCGGGGAACGCGGCGGACCCGGGCTCCGCCTAGCGCGTGGGGCGCTGAGCAGAGAGGCGCGGAGGCGGCGAGGGCGCGCGGGGGGCTTGGGGGACAGCTCGGCATTGCCTCTCCGCCACCCGCCACACCATGGGCAGCGCGGAGGACGCAGTCAAAGAGAAACTGCTGTGGAACGTAAAGAAGGAGGTAAAGTCGGGGCAAGGACCCCCGGGGCTCACGTCTCTGTTTGCGCTGCCTGGGGTGGGGGGCGCCGAAAAGGTCCGCACCCCCGACCCTGGCACCGGCGCTCGCGGGCCTGGGCCGGGCGGGGGCGGGGTCCTGGACTGACTACCGCTCTCGCCTCTCTCCCGGATCTGGGGGCAGCACCCCCTCCGTCCGAGGAGCCAGGCCGGCGCTCTGGCGCTTGTTTGCTTGGCGATCCCGCAGTTCCCCGCCCTATGACGGCAACAGCGCTGGGAGACCAAGGTCGGGGGAGGGGTGGTGGCGATTTCTGGAGAACAGGTGCTGCCCTTTCATTGCCCAAGCCCAATGGGCAGGGGCGGAGCCCCGCCAAGGGCCTCCGACAGCGCCAACCAGGTGGTTTGGGGGCTTGGCTCTGTTTTGCCCTACACCCAAGATTCAGGGATCCCTCTGGGAACTGAGTCGCAGCTGCAGGAGGGTTCGTCGCACACCTCACTGCTTTTCACTCCACGCCCACCTCCCTACCCAGAGTCCATGGGGGTGGGGGTGGGGGTGGTTGAGAATGATTTTTAAGACTCAAGATTTTTTCCGCCCGATTTGAGGATCCCCACCCCAAATGTCAGAAGGAAAACCCTCCCTTCTACAAACGTCCTTTACCTTTGACCCTCCCCTAAAGCCCATTTCAGTTTCATCGTGTTGGGGGGGGGGATACCCACATGAATGACTCACCGCACATGAGAGCTAGAGAACTCAAACCTGCATCGTGGATTAGAATGGATTAGGCCTCGGGAACCATGAACTCCGTGCAACTACGTTTTTGGCTGTCTTCTACCAGATATGCAAACTCCATGAGGGCAGGAAAACCCGCCTGTTTTGTCCGCTACTCTGTATCCAGGACCTGGCACATAGTAGGCATTCAGTGTGCATTTGGTAAATAAATCTACTGATCTTAGAAACTGTAGGATCTGTGGGGATGCATAACCTTGGAATACTCTGGACCTAGCTCTGAATAAGTTACTTAACCTTTCTGAGTCTTATTTCCTTCATCTCTGAAAGATGATGACATGTATCTCATATATTAAATTTTACCATAATGGTTCCTTTACCCCTTCCTAGAGTTTCAGGATTGGAGAAGGCTCTGGGTTCTCATAAACTCCTGGAAGGCTCTAGATGGTTCTGTGGCCTGGCTACTGTGCCCTATCTAACATTTATTTGTGCCCTTTCCTCTTGTTGGCAAAGAAGTGGCCAAAGTCCTCACCTTTCCGGCTGAGTGTGAGAAGCTGGAAGCTCCCTCATGACTTTCGTGTGAAGTGGCCAGGAAAGTATTTTAAGTCAGGAGTACATCAAATTAGCATTAAAACTAAACCCCCGCCCTTGTCTCTCCCAAGCAAAAGGGCAGTCCCAAGTCACAGTGATTATCCTCAGGAAACAAGCAGTATAAACAAGAAGAAAAAAGTAGCCATACCTAAACCATGGATGGATGTGCTAGGATTGTTGCTGTGCTCCAAATTTAGGGCTGGTCAGGGATGTAGGAAAGATTTCTGATAAGACCATGATTCTCTTTTCAATATTTAGAAGGCTGTTTATACTACTCTAAGAATGATTCCTAAACAAATGTGAGAAATGTCCAAAATACGCCACAGCTATGTATATTACCTGACAAAGTTTAGTTTCCAAATTCTTAGTTCCCTTCTCCCTTCAGCACTTGATTTAGAGAGAAATATATCCTTTCCTGTTCTACAAGTAGAGGCAGTGGGGATAATTGTGGGCAACTTTGGCCTTTCAATACAGAATTTGTCATATAATTCTAGAGTCATCTGTAGATCCTTCTAACCCCCAAATTTTCCCCCGCAGGTCTGTTTCAGATGCCTGCAGGTCTTTGAACTGTGGCTTTCTGCTCCGTTTAATACAAACACCCCTTGGGAAGTAATCTAGGAAGCTTTTAACAGTTTAGAGTGCAGGATTAATCTGATTCCCCTCTACCTAACTGCTAACCATGAGCAGTTTCAGTACGGAGAAGCCTCCGGGTCCTTCCTACCTCCTCTGCAGGCTTTAGAAGCTTTACCACTCTCCAAACTGTACAGTCCTGGGTGAGGGTCTTGGGAGCAAGAGCAGCATCAGAATGCTGTATGCCTTGTCCAAAGAATGGCAAAGACATGCTCTGCCCAGAGCTTACTTCATCTGTAAGACTTTACAGTGGGGTTGAGGTAATCCATCCCTCTAATCTCCAGTATTAGTATCTGTCTCTTGGCAGGTTCCCCCAGGACATCAAAAGTGCTTGGCTTCAGTGTTGGGAGCAACTAGAACCTCCTACATTGCTGATGGGAGTGTAAATTGGTATAACCACTTTGGAGAGCTATTTGACAAAATCTAGTAAAGTGGAATATATGTGTCAGAAATTCCTTGTTGAGAAATAAAAATGCCAAGAAATGAGCACCTATGTTTACTAAAAAACATATTTTTAATGTTCATAGGAGCACTATTCATGGCAGCCCCAAGTTGGAAACCACCCACATGCTAGTCCATTGTGTGTTAACATAATGGAGAATAAACAATCCATAGCTACCTACAACGTGAACACATTTTATAACCTCACCAGAGAGCAAAAGAAACCTAGTCACAAAACACTACACACTGAGTGATTTCATCTACAAAAAGTATAAAAACCCATAAAATGACCCATAAAATGACTGTTAGAAGTCAGGAGAGTAGGTGTCCCTGAGGGGAGAAGTGAGTGGAAGGAAACATGACAGTGGGGGTTGTTCAGGGTTGCATGTCACATGTTCTGTGTCTTCATCTGGATGCTGGTTTCACAGGTGGATTCAGCTTGTGAAAATTCATCAAGCTGTGTAATTATGACATATGCCCTTTTCTGTAGTTTTATGTACATCAATAAAAAAGGTGTGTGTGGAGGGGGAGTTAAAAAGTGCTTTCATAAAGACAGATGTAACTGCTCATCTTGCAAGGTATTTGGAAGGTTCTGTATCCACATAGGAACCCAAACATCAGGGCTTTATCTAGACAGAGAAGGCAGGGCTTGCAAGCATGTGGAGAGCATCTCTGAGCCCTGGGTGAACCTTGAAAAAGATGGAGTAAATGAGGGGCAGGTTGTTTATCTACAGCCTATAATGAGCTAGTTTGTTTCTAAAGGACAGTGTGTCTGCCCAAAAGCTCTTCTCCAGCTAAGTACACATGAGCAAACAGCATCCTGTCCTTCTCCACAGCAGGGTGCTTCCTCCTGGACTGGAACATCTGCACTGATTCCTTGGTGGGCTTATGATATCTCCCTTCCTGGTTGCCTTTCCAAGAAGACACTTTGCTTCCCCACCTCTCCCATCCCTATTTACTATCTACTCTGCAAGTAGATAGTAAACCCAGATCAGGAGAGCAGAGCCAAGTTGTTTACTTGCCCACAGGCCTTTGATCGGAAAAATAGGTAAGATGCTGCCCGTTTGTCCACAGGTGAAGCAAATCATGGAGGAGGCTGTCACCAGGAAGTTTGTGCATGAAGATAGCAGCCATATCATTGCTCTGTGTGGTGAGTGACGTGGCAGTGGGAGGAGGGTTTAGAACTGAAGACACTGTCCCGGGGGCAGGGAAAGAGGAGCCTCAGGTTTAGTAGTTTTCAAATATGGCTACAAATTAGAATCATCTCTGAACCGTTTGAGATCTCCCTGGGCCCCATCCCGACCTACTGAATTAGGATCTCCAGGGCCCAAGGATTTCTATATGTATTCAGTTCCCTTGGTCTTTAGTGTGCATCTGAGTCACCCAAAGCACTTGTTAAAACTCAGATTCCTGGGTCCCAACCCTGGAATTTCTGATTCTGGTAGTCCTGGGGTGGACCTGAGAATTGGCATTTCTGACAAGTTCACAGATGGTTCTGAGCTGCTGGTCCAGGGACCACGCCTTGAGAACCACTGACTTAGGTGATTCTGGTTTGGGAACTACTACTCTGGCTTATGTTTACTTTAACTTTGGGGGAAGGGTTCGTGTTTTGGGATGCTTTCTGTGCCACATCTGCTTTTTTTTTTTTTTTAATTTCTAGGAGAGAGAGACAGAGTGAGCAGGGGAGGGTCAGAGAGAGAGGGAGTCACAGACTGAAACAGGCTCCAGGCTCTGAGCTGGCAGTCAGCACAGAGCCCGATGCGGGGCTCGAACCCACAAACCGCGAGATCATGACCTAAGCGAAAGTCGGACGCTCAACCGACTAAGCCACCCAGGCGCCCCTGTGCCACATCTGCTTTCTAACTAATCCCACTGGTGTTGCTCTGGCATTCCCAGTTCTCCAGGCCCTGGGTTGGATACATGAGCTACAATAGGAGGGAAAGCCAAAGCCCTCCTGCCTTAGAAGGGAGAACGTTGGTAATAAACCATCGCTTCCTCCTCACCTGAAGACTTCTGCCGTTACAGGGGCCAGCCAGTCTCTGTACACGATAGTTTTTTTGGATTTCCAGGAATTTATCTTCCTTTCAACTCCCTTTCTGAAGGGACAGTTTGACACCTCTGTGTTGTTTTCCTGGGCTTCTGAGATTGGTATTGGGGATTGGTGGAAGGGAAGCTGTGTATTTCTGAGAGGAAGCAATGAAAGGAGCAGACAGTAGCATGGTGAGGCATATAGAGCTGCTTACCAGCAGTCCAGCAACAGATGCCTTGGGGCTGCCATGTGCCAGATCCTACTCTCTGAAGGGAAACAGCAGTCACAAGACGGACAGAGTCTCTGCCCCAAGGACTCCCATTCTGTGGGGACAGAAAACACATGCACACATAAATATATCCTGTAATAAAAGTGTGGAGGAAACTAAAGCCGAGAGACACGGGAGAGCTTGGACAAGTTTCTTAACTTCTGTCATTCTTAGTTTGCGCCGGTAAAAAAGGGTGGTGATTCCCACCTCAGGGTATTTTTGGAGGGATTGAGATGATGCATGAGAACATTTCTAGCTTTGGAAGAGCTCAGGAAATGTCTTTCCCTCTCCTTTGGATGTTGATGCCGAAACTAGGTTTGCAGGATTTCAGTTCCCACTACCTCCCTTTTTGGTAAGTTTCCTAATTCTTTGAGATGATGTATGATTCTCAGGGTTACAAGGAGCAATGCAATCTCACCTTTTCTCAGGCAGAACCTAGGTTAGGGGAGAAGCATAGTGGTCTTGCAGTAAGTGCAATATTTGAAGATTATTAGGCCCCTACTCCTTTCCACCTGTGCTGTGTGCCCCTGACATCAGCCACTATTTGTTGTGGTCCCCAGAAGGGCTCTGCTGGTGGCCCACTTGTGCATGGCTTAATTCCTTATCCAGAGAACATTCAACAAACAGAAAACAGAATAAAATAGTGCAAACAGCTTGTGCATGGGCGCCACACGTGGGTGGCCAAGGGGGAATAGGGGAAAGAGACGCAGAGAGAAGTTGTGGGTATCCCACGTTCAGGCCAATTAGGATGAGAAAAACTGTCAGCTCTCCTCTGATCAGTGCAGGGATCCCCAGGAAGCAATGGAGTTTTCGCTTTTGTCTCCTGCCTGAAAGCCTGGGCTCTTCCCAGCAGCAGGGATATTACCCTCAAAAGGAATGCTTCTACTTTCAGCCAGTTTTAGGTGCTGAAACAGAACAAGGGTCTATGAAACAGACCCAAGTCTCCAGGGTTGTAAATTCAGCCCATGAGCAAGAGGAGCCCCGTTCTGCTGGGTCTCAGGAGGTGCTTTAGCACAAACTTAAATAGCGTCGGCAGTCAGATGGAAAAGGTCCACACAAGAAGCTGTCCCGGTGTGACACTGCAGACAGTGGTGCTGGGGACTGGGGTGGACTGAATATTGCTTGCCACTGCTCAACTCCTGCAGGAATGCCAGCCCAGGCTTGCCATGGCCTTTGTTTTTTCTTAAGAGAAGCCAGAAGTCTGGGTTTTTATATAAGTTTCCCAATTTTTATTTTTTAAAATGTTTATTTATTTTTGAGAGAGAGAGAAACACAAGTGGGGGGAGGGGCAGAGAGAGGGAGAGACACAGAATCCGAAGCAGGCTCCAGGCTCTGAGCTGTTACTGCAGAACCCAATGCGGAGCTGGAACTCAACGAACTGTGAGATCATGACCTGAGCCAAAGTTGGTTGCCTGACCAACTAAGCCACCCAGGTGCCCCTGAAATTCCCCAATTTTTTAAAGACTAATAACTAATTCCCATTTTTATATACTGTATGTTTATTTGCTTATTTTGAGAGAGAAAGAAAGCACACATGTGAGGGAGGGACAGAAAGAGAGGGAGAGAGAGAGGATCCCAAGCAGACTCTACACTATCAGTGTGGAGCCTGATGTGGGACTTAAACCCACAAACCTTGAGATCATGACCTGAGCCAAAGCCAGACGCATAACCACCTGAGCCACCCATGTGCCCCAACTAATTCCCATTTTTAAAAAATTTATGGGCCAAACAAAAGGCATCTCCAAGCCTTTGCCAGTTGGCTGCCCTTGTCTTGGGCTCAGTGCAGAGTCACTGAGGAGAATGCTAGCAGGAGGGACTGTCTGTATAAAGCTAAGTAAAGGCAATGGGAAAAAGGAATCCTTGGGCTTCGTCAAAACCGGTATTCAGTGGTGAGGTAAATCCCAATTTGGGCTCAAGGCATATTTAAAGCAGTGATTATCAAACTTTTTTCCTATCTGCAAGCTATTTACATGCATCACACAGTAGAATCACAATCAGGGATTCTTGGGAAGAGGCAGAGGGAAGAATAGATAAGTATTGATGGAAAACCCACGAGCTGTGAGATCATGACCTAAGCCGAAGTTGGATGCTCAACCGACTGAGCCACCCAGGCGCCCCAGAAATGAATTTCTAAGCTGAAGTAGATCCAGTCTTATACTGACTGGGTTGTGCGGTTGTCCTGGCCTCGTCCAGAATCCAGCTTTGTTCTGGGAGGAATTAAAGTGCAGGGAAGATGCGAAGAGATCTGAGCAGAGCAGAGGCTGTGGAGGCTGGATCAACTGCAGAGTGACCACATTCCCAGGAGTTTGGAGGGCATTGGGGCCCGGGGCCCCTCTGCTCTGCCCTGGGCCCCTCTGTTCTTGGCAGAGGAGGGCAGGGCCTGGGCAAGATGAGTTCCTCTGAGCTTCCTTAAAATAGAGACGTTTGAAGTGGAAACAGAATCTTCCTGGAGAGCCTTAGAAAGGGAACTGAAGAATCCCTGAGTTGAGTCCTGACCCTGGGCAAACCCAGGAAAGTTGTGCCAGATTGCCCACAGGAGGAGGGAGACTCCCGGGACTGGTAAGAAATGTGTTTTTCGTGTGTGTGTGTGTGTTGTGGTTGTTCCTAAACCTGTTTACCCGGAAGCTGGTCAGGCTCCTGTAGGTAGAAACCTTGTGAGGAAGCTTTGCTGGTAACCCCTGGTGGCAGGAAGGGGTTCTCTGTGTGCTGTTGTCCAACCACAGAGCATGGCTGTAGGAGGATCAGGCCTGTGTGACTGCCCGCTGACACAGGTGGAGGTGAGGCTCAGAGAGTAGGCCCAAACCTACCACTGACATCACCTTTTCATCTTTAAAAAGTCTTGTCAAGTTTGCATTTTGTTCCATAGTATGGTCTTTAAAATTATTATTATTATTATTAAGTTTGTTTATTTTGAGAAAGAGAGTATGTGCATGCGCAAGGGAGGGGACAGAGGGAGAGAATCCCAAACAGGCTCCATGTCCATCAGTGAGACGTGACATGGGGTTCGATCCCATAAACTGTGAGATCATGAAAAAAAAAAACACCCAAAAACTGTGAGATCATGACCTGAGCCAAAATCAAGAGTCAGATGCTTAATTGACTGAACTACCTAGGAGCTCCTGAAATTTTTATTTTAATGTAAATACTTTTCAATCAAATTAATGCTCCTTGTTTTCCCTGTGGCTTCTTAAAACCCCAGGTGTAGTCTGATATCTCCTGCCACCCCCTTTCCCCAAGGGCAAGGTGCTTTTAACTTTTGCTTGTGGGCGGCTCAAGGTTAAGTTAACCACCAAACTGTCCCAGGTTTCACCTTCGAACTCTGCATGCATGACAATAATGCACATGCTTTAAGAGAATACATTTGCTCCCTTTCCATCAGGGTTCTGAGGTAATTCAGGCATCAACCCCAGAGCACTGGAGAAGCCACCATATCTCTGGACCTGCCCTTCCCTCATGTCTGGGTGTGGCCACCTCCACAGAATTTCTGTGTGCTCTATTCTGATTGGGCACGGAATTTGGATTTTAAACTTTGGTGGGTAGAGCAGGTTCCTAGCCTGGCACAGCAGATTCTCGGTCTCCTTTCCCAGAATGCATTGGGGGGGGGGTGGTCAGAGCCCAGGTCAGCCCTGCCCCTCAGTCTCCAGGTTCCTGGCTCTCTCCACACGGATCTTTAGATCCTCAACTGGAGGGTTGTTGCTTCAGGCTGAAGATGAGCTGTAATCGGAGACAGGGGTGGAGCCTATGGAGCTGGGAACAGCTTCAGGGCTTTATTAACCACCCGCTCCCTGTTGCTAAGCAGCTTTCATTAGCTAGAAGGTCGGCTGCGGTGAGCTCCTCTGGGGAATGGCAAGGA